TATGAATTTTTAAAGACATCTGCTTTAAATTGTTATTCTTTAACTTAAAGCTTATTAACAAACCATTGAAAAAAAACAACCTGGAGACTAAAATTAAACGACATTAATTCAATGTATCACTTTATTTACATTTTATGAGGTTGTAATTTTTCCAGTAACGCTCTGAACGACATTACCTTATTTACATCCAGTTCCAGATGTTCCCTCCAGAGGTGCTCAACCAACCGGTGCCGGATATCATTCATCCCAGGAGCCTGAACAAGGAATTACATGACAATTCTGTTCATCTTGAGCTTGGAACATTAAAAACATACTTAACCTTAAGTGCCCGTCTGTACCATTTTATTTATCTGTAATCACTTTAAACATTTTTAAAGAAATTACACTTTGAGCTGAACACTTATGTTGTTTTGCATTATTGTTTAGTGGTCTCCGTATCTTGTTTTTACTTGTAATTGCCCTACACCAAATTGCCTTCATAATTAATGAGGTTGAATTGTATTGTATTATTTATGTTGTGTGATAAACTTCTTACACAAGTTAAGATTAGAAATACACAAAGCAATGACAGAGGTTTGTTTCCTTTTATTAACACATGCATATTGATGTGTGACATTTATTTGACCTTTGCTCCCTTTGAATTAACATCTTTCATTTCCCCCAGTGTCCCCATTTCTTCCTCAGCACAAAGAGGGCTGAGTTTCCATGTCCACAATTTGTCGGGATGTCTGGTCAGAGGATGGTAAATAAAGCGATTCACACAGTGGAGGCAGTGAGGAGAGGCAAAGCAAAATGTAGTCCAGATGATACTCCTGCAGCCGTCCAGATTCACAATGAAGCATTGTCTCGTTACGCAGGGTGGAGTTCATAATGTGAAGTCTGTTTTTTTTTTCTTTTCTTTTTTTTCAAGCCCAAACTTAAGTCAATAAAAGCAGCGTGAATAACAACATCCTCTGTTCAGGTGGTCTTCTAAAATGACAATAACCCTCCTGCTCAGAATACAGCAGAGCACTGTCCTGAAGGTAAACACCGGGATGGATTTCATTCTCTCCTTAAAAGTCAACACACTGACTGTCACACTTGTATAGACTAGGTCTATTTCAGGTATAAAGACTTTGTTGTTGATCGTATAAAACTATGAAAGTTCAGCTAAAGGTAAAGACATGAAGGAACTGAGAAAAGTTTACTTTCTTTTGAATGTTAAAAGTAATTACCCATTCAGAACTTGTGTTTTTGTATAAACTCAGATGAGGCACCTGCAACAGAAGCTATACAACATACAAAGCCTTTGCAGCGCTGTTTATTAACTACCCTGAAAATCTGTCAATTCATCAGCAGTCATCACAGCAGTAAGCGTCAATTGACAACTGCAAATATATGGTCTTAGTCAGGCAACATTTTCTTAAAGATAAAAAGGGAAAATAGCAAAACACAAATTAAACCTTTTAAATATCTTTAAGTTGTGTGGTTTGAATGTTCAAATTTGGGTTTACACTGCTTTCATGAATTAGAACTGAGTCTCAATTTCGAGTTCTGCTAGAGGTTCCCCATTAGACTATTTCCTTTAAAACAAAAAAGTATAATTATTTTATTTTAACATTATAAATGTTATTATAAAGAATAATCTTTAATAGATTCTGGTCAGGGAGGTTAGGTGGGTGAACATCTAACTGACCATGTGTTGATCCTCTGAATTGAAGAGAGAAGAATGAAAACCAGCTGACAGTGAAGCTCTCACAGGCCTGACAGAACCGTGCTGAACTGTATTCTGAGCTCTCCCTCTGGGGATTGTGTCGTATTATTTCTTTTTGGGGGCATTGGGTGTGTTGAATTTGAAAAAGATAATGTCCCCGTCCTCCACGATGTAGTTCCTGCCCTGTTGTCTGTATTTCCCAGCAGCCTGAAAAAAGAAGGGGAGAACATCAAATTTAAAGTGTGTTCAATTACGAGTGAATCTAACAGTGAAGCAGCGCTAGCGTGAAATTAGCATCTACATAAAAATACACACCTTGGCTGCATTTTCACTGCCCTCCTCTTTGAAGTCGATGAACTTCATCACCTCGGCCATGATGAAGCCTTTCTCAAAGTCAGTGTGGATCTTTCCTGCGGCCTGAGGAGCCTTGGAACCTTTCTGTTGAAGCAAGACAGAACCGAAAATCTCAAAAACATAACTGAAAATACATCAACACGCTCCTTCAGTATTTTATCAATCAGGCATAGGATTTACAGCATAAAGTAGGATATTAATGCAATGCAATATTCTGCCGAAAATGTTAAAAGCTCTCAAAAAGTCAGTCAAATTCTATAGTGACACTCAACTATGATAATGGAGCATTGTACAGTAGCCCACAAGGCCAAAATACACTGAAGAAAGAAAAAATACACAGTAAACAGAAATGTGTTGTATCTGATCACTCACCCTGACGGTCCATGCTCGCACCTCATCTGGTCCCGCTGTGAAGAAGTATTCCAGCTGTAGCGCTGCATAGCCGGTCTTTATTATTTTGGTCAGAACACTGGTATGAAATTAAAAAGAGAGGAGCCATGAAGGAACAGCTCAAGCTAAAATTAATCTTTACAATGTAGATATATGAATAAGTTATCGTTTATGTTGACAGTAACACATGAGTATTTAGTCCAGAACTACA